CTCTCTCTCTCTCTCTCTCTCTCTCTCTCTCTCTCTCTCTCTCTCTCTCTCTCTCTCTCTCTCTGTGTGTGTGTGTGTGTGTGTGTGTGTGTTCTCTGTGTGTGTGTGTGTGTGTGAGATAAAAAAGATGACTAGTTATAGGTCAGACTTCCTATGTTTCCTTCACTATTTTCTTCTTTCATTTATGCGAGTATGAAACTTTGTTCTATCATGTGGATCGCTACCATCTTCGCCCGAGTAGAACGTACGGTCATTTTCTCTGTATTTGGGTTGGGGCAACTTTCAGTCTATGTATAGCAAGAATGACCGTACGTTCTATTTGGGGGAAGACGTGTGGCATCTACCTTCTCCATTCTGCTGCTAAGTGGCATCACACTGCAAATTTCAGAAATTCAGATGTTACTCGATGGACGTATGTGGGACATGCGCACTCACTTGGACTCAGCAGTCTGAATATGGCAGACTTTGTGGCCACATTCATCCAGGAAAGTCGTAGCGCCACTTACATCCAGGAAATTCCTACCGTCCCTTCTCGGCCTTTTGGCTAAGATCAAGTGTAGTATCTGTTGATTCTGTTCTGATCAGTTTAATTAATATCTGATCCGTGGTCCATTGGGCCACATTAAACAAAAAAAAAAACAAAAAAAAAAGAACAGAAAAACGCATGATTGTTACTGCCGTAAGACGGCAGTGTGACCATGCCAACTTTATTTGCTTTCTTTGAGGTGTGCTGGCGCACGCTTGACGTGTTTGCGTTGTGTCACTTGTGTGGATATTCTCCTCCTTAGAACACACTCGCAGTTGGACTTCCACACTGAATATACCGGCCTTTTGTGGCCAGGTACATGCAGTGAAGTTTTTTTTTTTTTTTTAAACATGTATATGCCCTGATTTGCTTACCTTGATGTGTTCTGAGTCTTCTGACGCATGCTCACCCTATTTGTTATGTTTTGTGGACATCAGGTTTTTTTTTTTTTTTTTTTTTTTTTTTTTTTTATGGGCATCAGTTAGTTAAACATCCTTGCCTGATTTTTCTTGCTTTGTGTGGTGCAGATGTTCCATGACGATGACATTTGATCTCTGCAAGTATGAGCGACCACAATCTCTATGATTTTGACAACCGTTGACGATCGCAAAGCTCAACTGGTCTGCTCAGCCTGTGTGCCCGGCTCCGTCCAACAGCCCACGCTTGTTTGGTACGTACGCAGAAGTCAGCCTCATTGTGTCTAATAACCGGTGGGTGCGCCGCTGCCGTTATTGGGTACATATAGACACTGAACTCCACATGAAGTTATTTGCGAGTATGATGTTGCCTGGTACGTCTCTCTACTGCACCTTGGCGTATGCTTATATACATAACTAGCCCCGCCCAGCGCCTGCCCGCCCACGCACCAGTACGTAACTCTGTATATTTACCATCAAGCAGCTCTCTTTGGTGCACGGGGAGAGTTCAAGCTTAGACCCCACTACCTACCAACGGCCGTCATTTCCAGGAGGCCTGCCCTTTTCAGCTGCTTCATTGCATTGTCTAAAAGAGACTTAGACGTTAAAAGTCTTAAAGACTTAAACGCATTTGGTGGTCGGCGCCACGGAGAGATTCTCTACCTGGCGGTCGACACCACCGGTTGTCCTCTGTGTCTGCTGGGGGGTTGGCCCAATTGTACAGGAGGTAGCAATGATTTACACCACAAGGTCCTTTTTCAGCTGTGTTCTCATTCCCTCGTCAAGGGATCACAGGCTCCGCACAATCTCGCTTCTGGAATTTTGAGCATACCCTCCTCCGCAGATAAGCTAGCTATGCATTGTTCTGCAGGGACATAATTATTGGGCCCACGACTCCACATTGTAGTCTGGGACTCTGGTCTGGGACTCTGGTCTGGGACTCTGGTCTGGGACTCTGGGCATAGCTATAGCTATTTGTGGATAACTGTCCGTGGACAGCTGTCCATTGGATAGCTCTTGCTAAAGTATATAGTTGGATAGCTCTTGCTAAAGTATAGCTATTGGATAGCTCTTGCTAAAGTATAGCTATTCAGAGGTAGCTATTTATTTTTCCGGATGTATAGTTGTCATGTCTCTCTCACAGTGAAGAGATAGGACACATGGGTTCTCAGAAACCCCCCTTACTCAGAACACCCCCCCCTCACCCCCTATTACGCATGGATTGCATGTAAATACTAAATACCCATCTCCTCTGCATGGTGTCTTTCTTTCATGCCCCCTCTCCGAGCGTGATCACTTTCGGTTTAAGTGGCTGAGCGTTAGCCAGAGTTCCAACCACAGTTTGGACATGTCGTACATATCCCAGGCACAGTCTCATCAGCGTCTCTAAAGTTGGTACGGTACCTGCAGTACCTCCGTCTTGAAAGGAAGTTTGGTGCCCAGGTGGAGCTGAAGGTGGAAGTCATGGGCTGATGCAACTGTCAGGACGAGATGGAACTCTCCGGAACTGATGGAACCGTCTGGAACTGATGGAACTGTCTGGAACTCATGGAAAATTCTGGAGCTGATGGGACTGTCTGGAACTGATGGAACTGATGGAGCTAATGGAACTGATGGAGCTGATGGGACTGTCTGGAACTGATGGAACTGATGGAACTGATGGAGCTGATGGAGCTGATGGAGCTGATGGGACTGTCTGGAGCTGATGGAGCTGATGGAGCTGATGGAGCTGATGGGACTGTCTACAGCTGGAACTGTCTGGAACTCATGGAAAATTCTGGAGCCGATGGGACTGTCTGGAACTGACGGAACTGATGGAGCTGATGGAGCTGATGGGACTGATGGGACTATCTGGAACTGATGGAACTGATGGGAACTGATGGACCTGATGGACCTGATGGGACTGTCTGGAACTGATGGAGCTGACGGAGCTGAGGGAGCTGAGGGAGCTGAGGGAACTGATGGAGCTGATGGGACTGTCTGGAACTGATGGAACTGATGGAACTGATGGAACTGACTGATGGAGCTGATGGAACTGATGGAGCTAATGGGACTGTCTGGAACTGATGGAACTGATGGAACTGATGGAGCCGACGGAGCTGATGGAGATGACGGAGCTGATGGAGGTGAGGGAACTGATGTAGCTGATGGGAGCTGATGGAGCTGATGGAGCTGATGGAGCTCACGGAGCTGACGGAGCTGATGGGACTGTCTGGAACTGATGGAACTGTCTGGAACTGATGGAACTGATGGAACTGATGGAACTGATGGAACTGATGGAACTGGAACTGATGGAACTGATGGGACTGTCTGCAGCTGATGGAACTGATGGAACTGGTTGAAATTTCTTGAACTGACGAAGCTCTCTGGAACTGATGGAACTGTCTGGAGCTTGCTTTGCAGTGGTCACTTGTAACTTCCACATGGTTAACTGACGGCCACGGTAATTCCACAAAAGGCGGTTTCGGTCCCTCACAGCTCCGATGGCTAAGTTCTAACCATGGTTCCAACCACAGATGAATGCCGCTTGCAACACTGGAGGAATGGTTTCAGAGTTCCTTTGGTACTGCAGTCACTGCAGTGTTCCTATGGGACCGGAGGACATGTCCTCTGCCTCTGCGAGTTGGTGCCAACATCTCTAAGCAATTATGGTCACCAGTACTTCTTGAGGATGATAGATGTTTACACTCATTTTAAGGAAGTTCGCACCTGCTGCCAGGTTACGTCTACGTGCTTAACGAGCTCTTGCGTCCACCGTCTGCTCCGGACTCAACACACCCCGACACCCTGTTCATAACTGTATCCAAGCTATCTTTCAGGTCACATACAGTCGTGATGAGGCTGCAGTGTGTCTGGGGGGAGGCGGCAGGGCAAATTGTTAACCGAGACGTTGCAGCTTTTCTTTCCCTGTCTGTTGTGACGTGCGTGATGTGTTTTGTTCGACTCCAGTCGTCTTGCACACAGCTTCTACTAGATGGTGTTTGACTGTGTCTGGTGTAGGTTGAGTGGAAGACTGATGCTGGTGATTGCCTTTTTTCTTCTTCTTTTTTCATGCTCTACCCAGGGTGATGGTTGTTGGTATGTATACAATTTCCTAAAGAGGCAATTTATTCTTTTTTTTATATTAATTCCCTTCATGTTCTTGCTTAGCTCTTTGTCGCCCTCCATGTTTCATTCATCCCTTTGGATATGCTGCCTGCTTCCATCCCCCGACAGTTGTCTGTTGACTCTGCACCCAGTACATCAGGGCATGCCTCTCTCTCTCTCTCTCTCTCTCTCTCTCTCTCTCTCTCTCTCTCTCTCTCTCTCTCTTTCTCTCTCTCTACATTGGACCATGCCCTAGATAAACCTGCTCAGTTCAGACTCAGACCTTGACGACTATGGCCGCCCTGCTCCCCTATCACTACCCTAGCTATGGTTGTCGTTGGCGCTCCCTTCTCCTTCGATCGTTGTCTTGCCCAAGTCGTTTGGTCACACAAGCAGCAGCAGTGCTTCCACAACTTCACGAATGAACAACTCTCTTCTCTTCGTCAAACTCTCTTCTCTTTTCCTTTTGTAACTTTTCTTCCATCTTTTCCTGCTCTTCTTCTGACTTCTCTCCAGTTTCGTCGGCCTGCCTCTCTTTCAAGAAAAGCCAAACCGGCGCAGCCACTCGTGGCCCTCCTCTTGCTGTTGCTTTGGCTGCTTTCTTTGGCGGAGGTTCGTTACAACGTAGTTATTCCACTTACTCTTAAACTCCTCCTGGTGGGCCTATAGCCTTCCCTTCCTGCCACAACGTGTGTCGCAGCTTTCTTCTACCCGGACTGGCGGACTGCTTCGGTGAGGAGGGCTAACCGGGTGTGGACATCAACTTCTCCTTCCTGTTTCTCCTTCAGCTTCTGCTGGATCGCCTCCCCCTCTTTCAACCGCTTCCCTTTCTTTACGTCTTTATAGGAAGGTGACAGAATTCCGCCGCTTGAAGGAAAACCCGGCGTGCTCGACGGCATCATTACCCAAGAGAAGGTGCTCAGCCTGTTGGGACTGATTTCGAGGGCGATCCGGCAGAAGCTGAAGGAGAAACAGGAAGAGGATTGCAGCAACTCGTCCATGGTGGATTTGAGGGCAGACACACTTCTCCACTGACGTCTACCTATGTTCAAGAGCAGGTGCTCAGCCCGTCGGGCCTGATTTTTGTCCTGGAATCTGTCTTTCAGCGCCCTAAAGAATGTTCGTGTGTCGGCCTGTCGCGAATACGCCATCATGGTTTCACAGCCTGCACTTCTCATCAACAACAAGGCAAAATCCGCAGCGTCTCCCCCGAGGGACAAACTTGCCATGAGCACCTTGTCCAGCACACCGTCAATATGCGCCAACGGTTCGGCGTCTTGAAAGAGAGGCCGGCTGATGAAACTGAAGAGAAGTTAGAACTTCGAAAACGAGCAGAAAAAGATGGAAGGAAAGTTACAAAAGGAAAAGAGAAGAGAGTTTGACAAAGAGGAGAGTGTTGCTCATTCGTGAAGTTGTGGAAGCAGTGCTGCTGCTTGTGCGACCAAGCGACTTGGCCAAGACAGCGCTCGAAGGAGAAGGGAGCGTCAACGACAACCATAGCTAGGGTAGTGATAGGGAAGCAGCGCGGCCATAGCCGCCAAGGTCCGAGTCTGAACTGAGCAGGTTTATCTAGGGCATGGTCCAATGTGTGTGTGTGTGTGTGTGTGTGTGCTGTCTCTTATACACATCTAGATGTGTATAGAAAAATACACTACTACGTGTGCGTGTGTTTCATTCCGATTTTGCTCATCCTATCGATGGAACTACCCTCTCTCTCTCTCTCTCTCTCTCTCTCTCTCTCTCTCTCTCTCTCTCTCTCTCTCTCTCTCTCTCTCTCTCTCTCT